AAAGAATAATGAAAGACATTTTTAGTCCATCTCAATTCACAATTGTTTATATAGATGATGTACTCGTGTTCTCAGAAAATTTAGATAAACACTTTAAACATATACATATCTTCATTAAAATAATTGAGAATAATGGTTTAGTAGTTTCCAAATCTAAAGTAAGTTTATTTTAACAAAAAAAAAAAGATTCCTAGGTCATTACATTACACAAGGAACCATTACCCCAATAGAAAGATCTATAGAATTTGCCAGCAAACTTCCAAATCAAATCCTTGAAAAAGTTCAATTACAAAGATTCTTGGGAAGTTTAAATTATGTCATTGAATTTTACCCGAGACTTAGCAAATTGTGTAAGCCCTTATATGATAGACTCGAAAAGAATCCACAACCTTGGACATATATTCATACTAATGTTATATCCCAAATTAAAAACCAAATCATAGAACTACCTTGCTTACATTTAGCAGCTCCTACAAGCCCAAAGATAGTTGAAACAGATGCTTAAAAAATAGGATATGGAAGAATTTTAAAACAAGTCAAAAATAAAAAAAGAGCAGGTAGTACAATTCACATCTAGGCATTGAAATCTGACTCAGCAAAATTATAGTACTATATTACAAAATTTCAAAGTGATCTATTAAATCCAAAGTTTCTTTTACGAATTGACTTAGCAAAAGAAGTTTTACAAAAAGAGGTTCAAAATATTGCCTCCAAACAAATTTTTGCAAGATGTCAAGCTATTTTAAGTATTTTTTATTTTGACATTGAATATATTAAGGGATAATCTAATTCTTTACCCAATTTCCTCACCAGAGAGTTTCTTCAAAAATGCTCCCCAAATTGAGAGATAAAGGGAAAGATAAAAAAAATGCAAGAAACACCTTAAAAAAAATCCAATTTCGGTAAAACTAATCAAATCTTGGTATGAGATTTTTCAAAAAGAAGCAAATGAAGAAACCTCTTCGTTAAAATCTTCACCTAATGCATCACTCGAAGATGCTCAAGATCCAAATGAGATGTCATCTCAAGTCAAAACATGGATTGAGTATCTTTCTCAATATTCAGAAGTTGCAATTTATTTTGCACAAATTAAGGACGAAATTCCTCTCCAAAAAGTTGTTGCTGAAGCAGTGAAAATTTCAAAAAACAGAGAGATTGTTTTACATAAATCAAAGGGTCTATCAAATGTTTCAAAACAAACATGTCTTCAAGAAAATTTTTCCAAAACAAATAGTGATTTCTCAAAACTCTACTAAAAAATCTTCACAATATTTTCAAAATAGAGGTATTGAACATATTCTTGCACTGGATGATGATTTATATTTTTCCAATAAACCTCCGCATATTTTGGTTAAACAAATTTTTAATTGATCCCATTTTATGCCAATAAACATAGGGGAAACCATGAATACTATATAAATATTTTAATCCAAACAAGATATGTGGCATTTAAACATTACACTGATCTAAAAGATTCGAATTTTATTACCTATTCTACAGCTCAAACCATCAAAGTCCTCAGACCAAAAGATTAGGGTGAAAGCCCATCAAACTTGATGAAATTTCCAATATCATTTTCTAAAAAGATTTATCGTTGTACTAATTTTTTGTACCGAAATTACCATGGAGCTTGGTATGCAGCATTGTTCAGCTCGAGAAATCAAGATTGGCCCACATCAAGAAAAACAAATTTCGGTCAAAAATTACAAAACTTCCCCTCTAACAAAAGTTTAACCATATTAACCGGAAGGGGAGAGGGGAAAAGACAACAATGGAGTTATAAGGTTCTTCTTCTTCTTTCCTTATGGGGGAGATAATAAACTTGTAGGTAGAGTAAGAGACTTATTCAATTGTTTAAATTTTGTTCTAACCATCCTAAATTTAATAGCAGTTGTTGATTCTAAATTCAAAAGAAAAAGTGACAATGCCTGGAAAATTTAGAGACTTTTAAAGAGAATTTTTTTTATAACCGATAAAGATTAAAAAATATTTTGATTTTAACCATATTGTAATAAAATTAAAGAGGAGTGCTTAAAAAATTTAATGTATAAAATTCAATTATTAAATTCAATTTTTTTTATAAATAGAGAATGGTAAGATAATTTAATTATTAAATTTATAATTTACCCTTTCATCAATTCTGAATGGGGTTGTCTCAAAAAGACGGATTAATATACGGCTAAAAAATGGCTTGACTGGAAACTTAATAAGATAATTAATAAATTCGGTAAATCACTACCTATTATGTTGACAGACTCATAATGTTGTAGGTAGAAACACGAAAAACTATTAAAAAATTTGATAACCGGTAAACTTTGATTAACGGTAGGTATCGATACATATATATAAGTGTACATACTTACTTCACTGTGGAAAACATTAATTTAGAGTTATCTTTTGAGTGAATTTTAAGATATTAATTTAGTAATTATACGCTTCTAATGATTTATTTTTATGTTACGGTATATATTATTATTAAATTAAAAAAATAAACATAGATATTACATATTTATTATTATCTTTGGTTAAAATTGTTAAATTTAAATTCTAAATAATATTTTATAAAATATCTAAACAATCAAATAATATATTATTATTAAATTAAAAAAACAAACATAAATTGCATAACTTATGTATCCGTACTTACTCTAAAAATATGGATATTTATAGAAATATTGTTTTGTTATATTGTTATATATCGATACATTTTTATAAAGTATCGATACTTTATAGACGCTATTACTACTTTTCTTTTAAATTCCAAAAGTATCTATACTTATTTAAATTGAATCGATACTTTCAACATATTCGGTAGCGTTTTACCGATTTTGTTATAATAAAACCGATTTTGTCATATTCTATATTATTATGTATCGATACATTTTTATAAAATATCGATCCTTTATAGGAGCTATTATTGCTTTTCTTTTAAATTCCAAAAGTGTCGATACTTATTTAAATGGAATCGATACTTTCAACATATCCGGTAGCGCTTTACCGGTTTTGTCATATTTTTACGTGTTATATTGTTATGTATCGATATATTTTTATGAAGTATCGATACTTTATAGGCGCTATTACTGTTATAATGAAACCGATAGGTAATTTAATGTAATATGTAGCGCCTATTTTTTTACCGTTTACATTATTAGCAACCTTAAAAAAAATCAGTAGGTAATTGAATGAAATAAGTAGCGCCTATTTTTTTACCGTTTACATTATTAGCAACCTTAAAAAAAACCAGTAGGTATTTTAATGTAATAGGTAGCGCCTATTTTTTTTACCGTTTACATTATTAGCAACATTCAAAAAAACCGGTAGATAGTTTAATGTAATAAATAGCGCCTATTTTTTTTACTGTTTATATTATTAGCAACCTTAAAAAAACCGGTAGATATTTTAATGTAATAGGTAACGCCTATTTTTTATACGTTTACATTATTAGCAACCTTAAAAAAACCGGTAGATATTTTAATGTAATAGGTAGCGTCTATTTTTTTTCCGTTTACATTATTAGCAACCTTAAAAAAAACCGGTAGATATTTTAATGTAATAGATAGCGTCTATTTTTTTTACCGTTTACATTATTAGCAACTTTAAAAAACCGATATTTTTTTAACCGGTCACTTGTTTAACCAGTCACGTTATTTTTTAGCCGTTTTTTAATCGCCTCGAACTTCCCGATATAAGAAAGACGATTAAGGGCATTTTTATCACGAAAAAAACCATGTTAAAGAGAATCAAGGCGAAATAAGGGCATTTAAGTCATTCATACTTAAACATTGCCTTCTCATAGTTTTGAACAGTGTTTTGAAAATCGGACCGGACCGGCCGATTCAATCGATTCAACCGGGAATCGTTGCCTGATTCGGTTCATTCGACACCGATTAAATCGCTACTAGTGAACTGGAAGGAACCGCTGAACCGACTGTGAACTGTTCGAACATGACCGGATTGTGAATCGGTTGAAAACCGATAGAACCGGCTCTAAAAAAAATTAAATCAAACGACGTCGTTTGTTAAACGAGCCGAGTCGAACTCGAGTATTACTGAGCTCGACTCGAACTTGAAAACTTTAAAGTAAGCTCAACTCAACTAAAAAACTCGCGAGCTAAAAATTATCAAGTTCAACTCGAACTCGAAATATAATATTGAAACTTGAACTCAAAAAGGCTCGAACTCAAAAAAAATTTAGAAGCTCAATTGAAGCATTAAATTCGAACTCGATTGAAGCGAAAGAATAGTTCGCTCTGTGCTCACTAAAAGGCTCCATAATTTTGAATGCCAAATTACCTCTATTATTTATAGAAGTCAGTTAGGATGCTTTTCTATGTTTCTTAGCCATGTGAGATTGTTTTGTTTTCATATTTTTACTCTTTAGACTTTTGTGATGCTCTTCTATGTTTTTTAGTTATGTGAGATTTTTTTTAAATTAAACCAAACGATATCGTTTGTTATGATTTTTTAGCCTCAAATTTATTTTTTGATTATAGTTATATAATTATATTTATTATTTAATATGTTTTACCTTAAATATTATGTTGTAGTTAATTTGAATCATTTTGTTTCACTTAATTTTATAGTTTTTAACTTATATATGTTATGACTTGCTTTGAATATGACTTGTGATATAAAAAACTATTTTTTATTAAATATTTTTGGTATTTTTATTTAATTTTTTAAATAATTATTAATTATGATGTCGTCCGGTTCTTTCGATCGGTCTAACCGATTCGACCGGTTAAACTAGTAGCACAACCGATTCGTTAATCGGTCCGATTCTAAAATGGCACTTGCCCAAACTAACTAAATCCAAATCGTTTCAAAAAAAAAAAGAACTTAACTCTTTCTCGCTGTGCTTTTAATTTCTCATCCATTTTCATTTTCAATTTTCTTGAAAGAAATTAAATAAAAATTAAATTGTTGCCACCGTTCAATCAAATTGAATCACTATTTCTTTTTCTTTTTTATTATTATAATTTTTCCTGTTTCAGATCTGATCGCAGATCTTGAATCTTCATTTTCTGTACTTCTCTGGTAATTTTTCTTGTTATTTTTTCTCTTATGTAGTAATTCAAATGCGTGAATTTTGAGTGAACTTTGTTAGGGTTAAAAGAATTACACCAGCTATTGGTAAATCGAATTTGCGAAGTTCACTTTTATGTTCTTCGAATTCGGATTTTGTCTCTCCCTTGTAAGTAAAATTATGTCTATTTTATTTGTTTTTTCGTTACTGTTTTTTCTCATATGAAGTTTGATTTTGGAGTTTTGTTTTGTTTTTTCTTTTTGCGTTTCTATGGTAGGTTGGTAAATAGATCTTAAAAGTTGGCTCCTCAAAGGCGATCGCAGCGCCACATGGGTGGCCAGATGCAGCAAAGCAATGCTGCAGCGACGGCGCTCTACAATCATTCCGGCGGAGGTGGCGGCGGGTCCTTGCATAATGGGGCTCCTGCCAGCGGCGATGCTGGTGATGCCGTTATGGCGCGTTGGTTGCAGTCTGCTGGATTGCAACATCTGGCCTCTCCCTTGGCATCTAGCGGTATGGACCAACGCCTCCTTCCCAATCTCCTCATGCAGGTAAACCATCCATCTCCTTCTAATTTCCACTCTTGTTTATTTATATTTCCTGTGGTTTTCAATTATCCACAATCAATTGCTCCATTCCAATGCATGCAGTTTGAATTCGGTAAATGTGCATTTTTAATTGCTTTAATTTATTTTAAATTGTCATTTTTATGAACTTCTTTGGCCAACACAATTCGAATTCGGATAATGTACATTTTTAATTTATTTTAAATTACCATTTTCATGAACTTATTTGGTTAATATTCTCGTGATTATTGCATTTGAACAATGGGAAATGTTTTTGAAGTTTGTACATCGTCCTTCACCCAATAATGTCTCCTTTTGAGATTTATATTCCATTCCATTTGATCTAATGCGTATATATATTCGTTTGCATGAAGTTGTCGAAAATTCATTCTTAGTATTGACAATTAGGGTCATGAGCCTGCTAAGAAAGTTGGAGTCCATCATTAGTTGATAATTCGATTGCTTGTTTCCTTGTTTTTCCGTTAATGTAGTAATTTTCATTTCCTTTCAAACAAACAATCTGTATTTTAAATTCTTCCTAATGTAGTTAATCATTTTATATTTTATGCATTTGGAGATGATGAGAAGTTACTATTACATTATTGAAGGGTTATGGAGCACAATCAGCAGAAGAAAAGCAGAGGCTTTTTAAATTAATGAGGAACCTCAATTTTAAAGGGGAACCTGGGTTAGAGCCATTCACACCAACTGCCCAAAGTTTGGGAGGGCTGGGTACATCTGATGGGTTCTATTCCCCGGAGTTCAGGGGGGATTTTGGAGCTGGGCTTCTTGATCTTCATGCTATGAATGATACAGAGCTTCTTTCTGAGGTATGGTTATTAGGAACTGCACATAGCTTTCCAAGAGAGTTCCATAATTACCATTTTTCTTCCCTTTTATGTGGTGATATGATTAGACATTTATGGATGTTGTTTCCTCTTGATATGTTTGAAACTTCACTCAAAAGTGTGTTCCAATTTAAGTTTGTCATAGCATATTTTTTTTAATCTGTTTTCCCTTTGGAAATAAATTTTGACGTGATTTTTTTGCAGCATGTTATCCCAGAACCTTTTGAGCCTTCACCATTCATGCCTAGATTGAACAAAGAATTTGAAGATGAACTTATTGTAACAACTAGCCTGCAGGAAAAAGAGCTGAATGATGCTGATGCCTCTGCTTCATTATTCTCTGCCAATGAAAAAGAGATGAGCACGAGGGAAAATAATGTTGCTAAGATTAAAGTTGTGGTATGTTGGTTTCCGGCAATGGTGCTTTCTTTCCCTGTCCTCTCTTTCAACCTTCTATGGAGATGGGGACATCCTTATTTCCTTGATAAGATTGAAGTTTATGTTCTCTAATTTTATTATTATTTTTATTCCTTTCAATGTTGTCCTGCTCTTTTGTTGCACTTTTTAATATTTACCTAGGTTGCGAAATGTAGAAATGTATACGCGTCCATGTTCATGGCACAACATGATATGGCTTACGTTCTAAATTTCCTGGAACTAAATTTGTTTTATATTGTGGTATAAGGTACGTAAAAGACCATTAAATAAGAAGGAGATTTCTCGGAAGGAGGATGATGTAGTAACTGTGAGTGAGAATGCTTTAACTGTCCATGAACCCAAGCTAAAGGTTTGTGTCTTATTTATGGTTGTTAAGGTGATGATACTATGCGTTATTGAGATGGTCTTTAGAACCATTGGTGCTTGTTTGATATGCCATTTCTCATCTGTTTGGTTGTTTTGTAAAGGTGGACTTGACAGCATATGTGGAGAAACATGAGTTCTGTTTTGATGCTGTTCTGGATGAGCATGTTACAAATGATGAGGTAATACTTGGTTGATATATATTTCCATCCATGTGTTGTTCTTGAATATCTTTGAGTATATTATGACCCAAGTCTTTTGTTAAGATTGACCTGTTCTTTTGTTTGTGTCAACAGGTGTATCGTGAAACTGTTGAGCCGATTATTCCCATCATCTTTCAGCGAACAAAAGCCACTTGTTTTGCATACGGACAAACAGGTGCAAAGAGTTTCTGGACCTCATTCCTTAATAGTGGTTAATATTTGCTATTATTGTCATCTAGAAGCTAAATTCATGTAGAAGCATAACTTTTTGATATCAAAGCTGCATGCATCTTGGATAGCATCTAGGCGTCTTTTCATTTCTGTTTCTTCCAAAATATACTTTTAAGATTAATATTAATTCCAAAATATACTTTTAAGATTAATATTAATTCTCATACTTTCATGGAGATTATATTTGGATGTTGAAGTATAAGCATCTTTTTAGCTATGTTTGTTGTTTTCTATTCCATTGTTGTTTCCCCTTATTCCATACCAGGAATCATAACTCTGTTTTATATAGATCATTTCTCAACCCGAAATCATTTTACAATATTCAAAGAGCTAGGAAGAAATTAGATTCTAGTTTAGAGCCACAAATGTTTTTTAAATGATGTACATGGTATTTATTTGGTATTTTAAATATAATGTATAAAACTATTTGGGAGGGTTAGAATTGTTACTTGAAAGTTGACATATATGGTTGATCTTTGGATAGGATATTAGAGACTGCAAATGTTTGACTATGCTGCTGAGAAAATTAGTGCTGAGAGAACATCTGATTCCTGAAAAAGAAGAAATCCTCTGTTCTAAACTAAGGAAATCTCAAAAACCCGAAACATGATTGTCATTTTCTCATTATCCCCGGTCCTTCTTGTTGAACAACTCCTTACCTTTCTAGTTTATGGTTATGTGGAATTATTGCTCATTTCTGTTCTGTGTCGTGGCATATACTTTCAATTTCAGGTAGCGGTAAGACGTTCACAATGCAACCATTACCACTCAGAGCAGCGCAAGACCTTGTTAGATACTTGCATCAGCCAGTTTATCGCAATCAGAGATTTAAATTGTGGCTTAGCTTTTTTGAGATATATGGTGGAAAACTCTTTGACCTTCTGAGTGAGAGAAAGTATTTCCCTTTTCTTCCCTTGCTTATTTATGTATGTGCACGTGTGTGTGTGTGTTTAACCTTAGGATAACTGACTGACTTTTGATGTGTAATGTCTGAAATTTCTGCTGGTCTTATGTCGAGCTAACATTTCCAATATGTATACTGGAATAAAGTGGATGGATGTGTATGCATAATAATAACTGTTGGGTCACTCAATAGTCTAAATGTTCTCCAACAGGAAACTTTGTATGAGGGAAGATGGGAAACAACAAGTCTGCATAGTTGGATTGCAAGAATTTGAGGTGTCAGATGTGCAAATTGTGAAGGAATACATTGAGAGGGGAAATGCCACTAGAAGCACAGGATCTACTGGTGCAAATGAGGAATCTTCAAGGTCACATGCTATTTTACAACTTGCCATCAAGAAGCACCCAGAGATGAAGGAGTCGAAGCGGAACAATGATGGGAATGAATCAAAACCTGGGATGGTTGTGGGAAAGATTTCTTTTATTGATCTTGCGGGCAGCGAAAGAGGTGCAGATACCACTGAAAACGATCGGCAAACTAGGTAAGATTGAATGTTTTTGTGGGGGAAAAAAGGAGGTTTCAGAAACCCCTTCCAAAGGTCTATCTACAGATTAATTTTATCTGTCAGCTTGTTAAACTAGCTTAACATCTGATTTGTTTTTGGCTTGTTCTTATAGAACTGGTTTTGATTCTTGCTAGGATCGAAGGTGCTGAAATAAATAAAAGCCTTTTGGCTCTTAAGGAGTGCATTCGTGCACTGGACAATGATCAGATCCATATACCATTCCGTGGGAGCAAACTCACTGAAGTGCTCCGTGACTCTTTTGTCGGCAATTCAAGAACAGTTATGATCTCCTGTATTTCTCCAAATGCTGGTTCATGTGAACATACACTCAATACTCTGAGATATGCTGATAGGTATGCTTGTTTCTATAACAAGTTTCTAAAAAATGTACTTCCTTTGTTGCTGTGGATTGTGTTATACTTTTCAATTAAATAAAGGTTATCATTCTCCAATGAACAGGGTTAAGAGTCTTTCCAGAAGTGGTAATTCAAAAAAAGATCAGGCTGTAAATTCTTTGCAACCAAGTAATAAGGATGCTTCTTCAGCATCTTCTCTGTTAGCTACTGCTGATGTTGACGATGTTTATGAGCGAAAACAGGAAGTAAAAATTGTCGATACGGGTAGAAGGATTGTAGAGAAAGATGTTTATACTGCAGATTTTGACAAACAGCCCTCAACATTTGTGTCAAGTTACCCCTTCAATGGAAGGGAGGAAAGTGGAAAAGCTTCTGACCCAACTGATAGGGAGAGATTTGAAGTAAATAATAATTATGGTGGTTCTACAGGTCAAAAAGTTTACCCGTCAAATTCTCAAAATTCAGCTGATACTGAAGAGAAAGTGCCGAAGGTGTCACCACCTCGTAGAAAAGCAACTAGAGAAGAAAAATCGGAGAAGATGTGGAATATGGTCAAGAAAGATGGAGGATCTGATTTGTCCTCCTCAAACTCTAGGCAGGCGAATGCTGTTAATAATTACGAAACAAATAACGTTGGATATGGACAATATGATCCTGAACCTCCCACTGATGAGAATATCAATGCAATACTTGAGGTAGGCAATAGGTGCCGTTCATTTTGTCTTTTTTATTTATGATCTCGGTATTTTGTTCATTCTGTGTATACTTTGGTTGGTTGCAGGAGGAAGAGGCTCTAATTGCTGCTCACAGAAAAGAAATTGAGGGCACAATGGAGATTGTTTGTGAGGTAAGTAAACTTGCACTTTTATCAAGGCTGAAAAATGTTAATTTTCAAGTACTTATGTTGTGAAGCATTTACATTCATTATACTGAACCCTCATCAACAAGCTGGACAAATTATCCTTGTTTCAAACATACATAACTGTGTTGCCCCGACTCATTTTTCTTGAAGTTCCTGTGGCCGACACTCATGCCCAGTACAATCTTTGACATGGGTATAGGATAATGGCCATTCAAGGACCCTCCAAATATATAGTAAAACTTCTTTAAAAAATTGAACATACCTGTGTTAGACACATGCCAGTATCCAGCACTTGCAGTTGACTGAGTAACATAGATTAATACAACAATTGAGCCATCGGTCATCTTGTTTGCATCTATATTACAGGAAATGAAGCTTTTGGCAGAGGTGGACCAACCAGGCAGCCACATTGACAATTATGTGACCCAGCTGAGCTTTGTACTTTCACGCAAGGCTGCTAGTCTGGTTAGTCTTCAAGCTCGCCTTGCCCGGTTCCAGCATCGACTGAAAGAGCAGGAGATACTGAGTCGGAAAAGAGTTCCTCGTTGATGCAGTCATGTGTTATCTGCTCTAATTGCTGCATCAGACCTTGTCCAGTAATTTCTTCTCCTATAGATTATTACTGTACTATTTGTCCTGCAGGACACTTGCCCACTTTTATAGTAGAGGTTATAATTTTCCCTTTAGCTTATAGTACAAAAACCTGCCGGGTAGTTTAATCTTAAATATTTCTATATACAGAGAAATTCTCTAAAATAAATTTACTCGGTACTGGCAGTTGATGCACCAAGCTGCAGTACGGCTTGAGAGGAAATTCAGTAGTGGAAAGATCCTGATCCTATTTCCTGGCATCAAACGTTGCCATTCTCATACATGTTTCCTGCAAACACAACGGTGTTGACGATTCAATAAGGTGATTATACTTATGTGATGCTTGATTTATCGACATGTATTGTTTAGATGTTGAATATGATGTTGTTGAGATTGAATGGTTTGGTGGCCATGTGTTGTTTAATGGGCTAAAACATTTCTAGGAAATGAGAGAAAGAGGAAAATACGTTTCTCCCCCATTGTTTCTTTTGTAATTTTTGAAACTTATAGTTTGTTCTCACCTCGAAACACCTTGTGCATGTTATATGTAGACCCGAGTGTTTATGTATTTTGTTACTTTATAATCATATTTAAAGTAATTTATATCTGTATACATTTGTTTTGAGATAGATCCCGAAATATTCGTGTGCCCGGATTATATTCATTGCGATATACTTTGGAGAGCACATTTTTCCTCACCTAGAAAGAGCACCTTGTGTGTGTAATATATGTATATGATAATACGTGTATTCATGCCATGTAGTATTTTGTCATGTTATAATTGTATTTGAAATGTATTTAATATACATTTTGATATATTAATAATATATAAACTTTGAGACATTTGTATATTTTCTTCATATTTATGTTTTATTTTCAGTCATGTCTAATATTTGGATGGGTATGATATATATGATTTTGAAGATTTTCTAAATAGATTTTAAAGGCTTCCTAAATTGATTTGGGGGGGGGGGGGACTTGGAAACTTTGGTAGTAAATTTTTTTGGCAGCTTATGTTTGGATGGACGTTGGTGTTTGTGTCATAATACTATATGTATTGTATTTTAAGGTATTAATGGACATGTTAATTAATTGTAGAGGCGTATAAGTCGTTTTATGTCGTATGCCTGTTCTTAAGATTAAATGGTTTGTTTAATTTTTTTAAATATTTGATTAAAGTCGCAATCAGAACAATCAGAAAAGAATTTATATTTTAAGAAATCAAATTAAAATATTTTTAGGCAATAAAAATTATTTTTCAGACTAATAAGTGCATTGTTTTTTTATTCTTTCTTCCAATCAAAACCTTAATGTAAATTAAACTTCTCCATTTTCTAGCTAATAAATATTTTTATTTGTTTGAACTTTAATTTTTCAAACGAACTGGTCGTAGTTTACAAAAGTTATTGGGTAAAGTACATCAAAGGTTCTTAAATTACGTTTGAAAACTAAAACTAGGGATTTAGGTGAAGTTTGAACAAATAAAGATTAAGAAAGTCGGATGACAACAAAATTCAGAGAATAAAACGTGCCCATGATCCATTGGTAAATTTCTTTCTTACATCTCGACTCTATCTCAATTTTGTATTGAGATTAAATAAAGATTATCTGATAAGATATAATATGAAACTTGAACTCCATCTCTTATCCTATTTTGATAATTATGTTTAATTATTATTTAAGTAGATTATTAGGAAGAGAGAAGAGGCCATAGAGGTACACATCAACATTATTTTTTTCTTAGTTTTTATTTTCATGAGTCGTTAAGTCAAGATTTTTCAAGGTGTTTTGATTTATGATATTGTTTTTATCTCTATCTTTTTTTATTCCATTTACGTATTCTTATATCTTTAACTTTACTAATTATTTACTCTATAATTTATTAAATTTTTATATTACTAATTAAAATCTTATTATTTATAATTGCGGTCGTATTTTAATCCAAATAGTAAACGAGTTGTGAAAAAAATTAATCATCCATACTCATGTAAGTTGATTATTAACATGAGAACTAAACATGTATTATAATTTTTTATACAAACTTTTATTATTCTATCTATATTCATTATTTAATTGAATTTTTTAAACTCGTTTTTTTACTTAAAATGTTTTTATTCACGTGTGACGAAATTTAATATACAATATTTTTCTTTAAGTTTAAATAAAAACTAGGATAGATTATATGTTTAGTATCTAAACTATTACTTTTATTCAATTTTAGTACCTGAACTTTATTTTTTCTCAAAATCGTACATAATATTTAGTTTAGATTTCATTTTGGTATCCGCCATTAAAAACTTAACTGTTATATTGACGTGTCACCATAAGATAATATCACATCATCATTTAAAAAATAAAAAATTTGTCACGTCACCATTAATTTTTTAATGGTGGGTACTAAATTGAAAGCATAAACTAAACGTTAATTATGATTTAAAAAAAATAAAATTTAGGTATTAAAGTGGAGAAAAATTAATAATATAGATATTAAAATAGAATAAATGTAATACTTTAGATACTAAACATGTAATTTACCCTAAAAACTAATAGCTCCATAGGAAGAACCATGGACTACTCGTTCCCCTCCAGGGATTGTCTCAGGAAAGACGGGCTAATATACGGCGTCACTGGATACATTAAAAGATATTTAATAAATTCGGTTTAGCGCTACCGGAAATGTTGAGTAATAATAATGTAGTATGTCTAAATCATGAAGAAATATTAAAAATATTGGCAACCAACAAACTTAGCTTGTCGGTTTATGTCGATACTTTATAAATATGTATTGATCCATATCAATATAACTGGTAAAAATATGATAAAACCGGTCTCGAAAAGAAAAAACCGGTAAAGCGCTACCGGATATATTGAAAGTGTTGATACTTTAATATAAGTATCGACACTTTGTGAATTTAAAAGATAAGCAGTTTTAGCGCCTACAAAGTGTCGATACTTTATAACAATGTATCGATCCACAACGATATAACAAGTAAAAATATGACAAAACCGGTCTCTAAAGGACAAAATCGATCTCTAAAGGAAAAAAGCAGTATAGAGCGACTGAATATATTAAAAGTGTCGATACTTTAATATAAGTATCGACACATTATGAATTTAAAAGAGAAGCAGTTTTAGCGCCTATAAAGTGTCGATACTTTATAAAAATGTATCGATCCATAACGATATAACAGGCAAAAATATGACAAAACCGGTCTCGAAATGACAAAACCGGTAAAGAGCTACCGGATATATTGAAAGTGTCGATACTTTAATAAGTAAGTGTAATAAATTATCGATACTTTCAAAGAAATAGGTAATTATACTATCGAAAGTATCGACACCTGACATAAAAGTATCGACACTTTGGTAGTTGTATCGATTAAATATAAATAACATATTCGGTGAAAATATAAAGGGCATAGTTAAATATCCTCTGAAAAATAGATAGAACGGACGAGTTTTTGAAATCAAAGCGTAATTGTTGCTGCATTTCAGAAGGCGTTTCTAAAGCGAAATTTGTTTGTTTGTTACTGCAGTCGAATAAAAAAATACGTTGTCGAAACCCTAGTTTTTTATTATTACAGTAATCAGAAATAGGGTTTTTATGTGTTGTTTGGGGTTTTGGAGTAAAGAAGCATTTGGGACCGATTACAAGTAGAAAGTGATATTCTAGGTAAAATATAAATATCAATGCTTTTATTAAATATTATAGGTAGAAAATGATACTATAGGTTGTATAAATGTGCCGATACTTGGAGTATTGAGTGTTCTCAGTCGTTTGAAGGAAATAGGGATTAGGGTTTTTAGGTTTAGTTTGGGGATTTCGAATCAAAGCAAAGAAGGATCTGGGACCAATTATATAATATTATAGGTAGAAAATAAATATGGATACCTGTTTATAATATTATAGGTAGAAAATGATATTGTAGGTTGTATAAATGTGCCGACACTTGTTGTAGTAACCATTCAAATTCTTTTGAAGGAAATCGTTTTACTACAAGAGTAGTTATCCATATTTGTATATTGAATAAAGTGTATGTAACCAGTATTTGATTTGATTTGCGTAAACTGATATATAAAGGAAAAATGAAGTCAAAGGATCTTGGAATTGTTGGTGGTGAAGATGACGTTGAAATTGATGCCGAGATTCGAAACAACCAAAGGGTGGATATATGTACTTCTAGTAAATATCAATGTATTTTTGTTATTATTGTTGAAATGGTAATTGGATTAAAGTATTTAAGAACTTTAAATTGATTACAAATTTTAAATATTGACAGTATGACCGAATGCCAAAGGATAAAGGAAGGTAGCGAACACATCGGTTCGATATGTAAATTGAAAGTGACATTGAGTATTATTTAACGTTAATGTATTGATTAAGAAACATTTATGCTTAATATTAGGTGAGAAATGATGTGTTGGAGAAATGGAATTTGATGAGTGATGCTGATAAGGAACATTACATCGCATAGTCAAAGATGGATAATGAAGAATACAAAGAATGGAGGAAAGCACATAAAAAGAAGGTATTCATTCAACTTGTAAATACGTTCATACAAAATATATAAGAACTATAACATTATATATTGTTAAAAAATGTAGGAAGTGTCGACAAGGTGAAACATTAAAAGGGTGAATTCATTAATTAAACACCTTAAGGAGAAAGGTCAGTTGAATGTGCTGGGAGAAATGAGGTTTGGATCATTGGTAGGAGTAAGGGATCGACCTATTCGGAGGGAATTGTGTCGATCCTTGATGGAGCAATTTGATGTCGAACAATGTATTGCTAAATATGGTGATTTTTCATTTCCTCTGGGGATCTCATGTGCTGCAGTCGTCTTGCGGGTAGAAAATAAAGGCAAAAGTGTTGTAAAAGTCTCTAAGAGTAAGAACAGGAAAGCACTTGCCTCCAAATATGGTTTGAAACAGAAGGTGACATATGCTGAACTTGAAGAGGAAATCAAAAGTGGATCTTACGGGGGGGATAAGCTGAAGGCCCGAGTTCGATTGTACCTTGTCGGGATCTTTCTTTGTCCAACGGGTGATACGTCAACGAACAAGGACTATATGAAGATCATTTATGATGAAGGCTTGAAGGGTGAATTCAATTGGGCTGAATATGTCCATTCGAGATTGATTGAATCAATAATCACCTTTAAAAAGGGCAGCCAGAGATACCTCAAAGGGTGCATAACAATCTTAGAGGTAAATGAGTTGAAGAACATTTTTGTTTTTTTTATATACAATGATAGTATAGTTATTATATAAAATTATAAATTTTATTATAAATGCAGGTTGCACTGTTCGATTTTTGGTCGGGCTGTGAGGCAGTGCCGGCTTATGAAAGAACCAGAGTGGCACACATCCGTGCATGGGGGAAGGAAGAGGTGGTTAGAGTGATGGTGAAGTTGAAGTTGGATA